GCCTTCCCACCACCCTCCCATCATCTCCCACTGCCTTCCCACCACCCTCCCATCATCTCCCACTGCCTTCCCACCATCTCCCACTATATCACACTGCCCTCCCAGTGCCTTCCCACTGCCTTTCCACCATCCTTCCATCATCTCCCACTGCCTTCCCACCATCTCCCACTATATCACACTGCCCTCCCAGTGCCTTCCCACTGCCTTCCCACCATCCTTCCATCATCTCCCACTGCCTTCCCACCATCTCCCACCACCTCCCACCATCTTCCACTGCCCTCCCAGTGCCTTCCCACCATCTCCCACTGCCTTCTACTACCCCCCACCACCCTCCCACCACTTTCCCACCATCTTCCCATCATCTCCCCGTCTTCCACCATCTCCCACTGCCTTCCCATCACGTCCCATCGCCTTCCCACTGCCCTCCTACCACCTCCCACTGCCCTCCCACCATCTCCCACCATATTCCACAGCCTTCCCACCACCTCCCACTGCCTTCCCACCATCTCCCCCCCTTTCCTCCCCGCCCCTCACCGTGCTGCCGGCGCTCCCGCCCTGCTGCTGCTGCTGCTGCTGCTGGAAATGCGCCGCCAGCCCGGCCTTGTCCTTGCACTGCTCCTTGCACTCCAGGCACCTGAAGCAGCTGTAGCTGCCCTGCTCCGACCCTCCCAGGGGCAGCACCGGCGGCTCCTGCGCCCCGTTGGCCGCGCCGGGGCCCTCCTGGGCCACCCTTCCGGCGGGGAAGGAAGCCACGGGCACCAGGGGGGTGATGTCGGGCTGGCCCACCATCTGGTCCAGGGCGATGGGGCGCATGACCAGGTGGGAGCACTGCATGACCAGCCCCTTGTCCTTGTGCTCGCGGGCGTGCAGGAGGAGGCTGCACTTGTTGAAGAAGACCAGGCGCTTGGTGCAGTGGTTGCAGGTGACCTCGATCCTCATGCTGCGCCGGTCGTAGTGCCGCGCCAGGCTCTTCTCCAGCGCGAAGGCGTCGCCGCACTCCAGGCAGCGGTACCCGAAGGGCGGCAGCGCCAGGCTGGCGTCGGCGGGCGGGCTCAGGTTGGGCTTGTAGGTGGGCAGCAGGTTCTTGCTGTTGAGGATCTTGTTGAAGGCCTCCACCAGGCTCGACTGGCTGCGGGAGATGACGGTGCCGGCCACGGCGGGCGGCGGCTTCTGCGGCTGCACCATCACCACCGCGGCGCCGTTCACCTTCTGCCCGCCCGGCGCGGCGGCGGCACCGGCGCCGCCGGCCCTGCCGTCCACCCTGGGCAGGCTCTGCGGCACCAGGTTGATGATGTTCTTGGCCACGGCCTTGCCGGGCTTGGCGGGCAGCACCACGGACTTCTGCTGCGCCACGCTGGCGGCGATGAGCATGGCGCTGCTGGCGCTCTGGATGGTGGACACGGGCAGCACCGTGCCCTGCAGCTTCGTGCCGTTGCCCAGCTGGACGCTGACGATCTTGGGCCCTTCCGCGGCCTTCGAGGGGCTGCCCAGCTCCGGTCTGTCCTTGGGGGGCGGCTCCGGGGTCCCGTCCTCCTTGGTCCCCTCCAGGGAGGGCTCCCGGGAGCTCTGCTCGCCCCCCGGGCCTTTGGTGGAGCCCGGCTCCGAGTCCGAGGACACCCTGGTGACCGTCCTGGTGATGCTGCCGCAGGAGGTCTTGATGGTTTTGATCCTCACCTTGAGCGGCCGCGAGGAGCTGGAGGAAGGCGAGTCGTTGTTGTTCTCCTCCTCCTCCTCCTCCTCCTCGTCCTCCTCCTCCTCCTCGGCGCTGGACATGCTCTGCGGGCTCCCCGTGGATTTATCCAGCCCTTCCTGCTCCTCCTTGAGGGAGAGCCCGTCCTTCGGGGAGGGGGCCAGCCCGGGGGAGGGGGGTTTGAAGAAGGGCTCCCGGGGGCTGCTGCTGTGGGGCGAGCGCTTCCCCTCGGCCCCGGCCTCCCCCAGGGCGGCCTCCGAGCCCGGCCAGGCCGGGAGGGGCGAATCCTCGCCGGAATAACGCACGGTGACCGACTTGAGGTGCTCCAGGGGGCTGTCCCCGAGGGCCGTCCCCAAACCCTTGGGGCTGGGCTGGCGCCCCGGCAGCTCCTCCGAGTCGGATTCCTCCTTTTTGATGGCGGGGCCGGGGCGGGACCCGTCGGTGCCGCCGGCCTGGTTTGGCTCGAAGGGCTGCGGGAAGGCCGAGGGCAGGTCCCCCGAGCCCTCCCCCAGCGGCTCCTTGGTAGGGGACGGGGACAGGCAGGGCACTGCCAGCGCCTTCTCCTTGCCTTTGCCCTCCCGGGCTCTGTCCAGCAGGGCGGGATCCTCGCCGGGCTCGGGGCTGAAGTGGGAGAAGAGATCCAAGGCCTTGGGGCCCTTCTCCTTGGCCCAGCACTCCCCGTTGGCCGCCGACTCCCCCGCCCTGTGCCCGGGCGATCGCGGCGCGTCGGCGGTGGCACCAAATCCGTTGTGGAGCAGCCGGGAGCCCATTCCATGTCCCGGTGTCCCGCCCATCCCGTGTCCCGGTGTCCCGCCCATCCCGTGTCCCGCTGTCCCGCCCATCCCGTGTCCCGCTGTCCCGCTCATCCCGTGTCCTCCCAGCGTCCCGTGCCCGTCCTTCCCGCGGCCGTCCAGCGGCTCCAGCTGCTCGGGGCACCCCGTGTTCTTGACGATGACGCTGACGGCCGAGATGTCGGGGTGGGGCAGGACGTGCTCGGGGGGTCCCCCCGTCCCCGAGTCCCCCGGGCCGGGTTTGAGGGGGGCCGGGTCGGGCTCCTCGTGCCCGGCGTGGATCGCCTCGTTGGCATCGATGTCGGGGATGTCGAAGGCGGCCAGGAGGTCGTCGAAGTCCGGGGTCTTCATGTCCCCCATGGTGGGCACGGGGGAGAGGCTGGAG